GATCCCTGCATTGAGAAATTCCTGCACCCAGGAGACAGAGAGCAAGCTGTAACCCTGAAGACGGTGAGAAGCAGTGGCAGGAGAGACCAAGCAGCAGAGAGTTGGAAGCAGGAGACAGCACGGTGGGCTTCCTGGCCCACAGAGAGAGAAAGCTGAGAGCCTTTGGGCAGGGGCATAGGGCCAGGGAGAGGCATGCCTGTGAGCATGGCTGGGAAGAGTCTGTCCTGATGGAAGAACTGTATCCTTGACTGTTCCTGAGCCTGAATTGTAAACTGTTACTACCCTAATAAACCCCATAATGGTAAGTATTGTCTGTGAGTTCTGTGTGGCCATTGCAATGAATTATCAAACCCAGCAGAGAAGTAGAGAGTGCTGTGGGAGCGATGGTTTGTGTTAGAGATGGCAGACACGGCAGAGAGAGGAAGCATGTCTGACCTTCACCTCATAGGAATCAGCCTTGAGCAGTTGATGTTTTTTCTTTTAATCTAATTTGTTTTTTCTTGTGCTTTAAATGAAAGCTTACAGAGCAAATTAGTTTCTCATTAAACAATTAATAAACATATGGTTTTCTGACCTTGACGGCCAACCCCACAACGTGTCCACACTCTCCCCTTCTTGACCTTGGGTTCCCCATTACCAGCTTTCCTCCTGCCTTCTTGTCCTTGCCCCTGGACTGGTGTGCCCATTTAGTCTCGTTTTGTTCTATGGGCCTGTCTAACCTTCAGCTGAAGAGTGAACCTCAGGAGTGGCTTCCATACTGAGTTAAAAGGGTGTCTGGGGCCATACGCTCAGGGTTTCTCCAGTCTCTATCAGACCAGTAAGTCTGGTCTTTTTTTTATGAGTTAGAATTTTGTTCTACATTTTTCTCCAGCTCTCTTCAGGACCTTCTATTGTGATCCCTGTCAGAGCAGTTGGTGGTGGTAGCCGGGCACCATCTAGTTGTGCTGGAGTGTCTGGTGGAGGCTGTGGTAGTTGTGGTCCATTAGTCTTTTGGACTCATCTTTCCCTTGTGTCTTTGGTTTTCTTCATTCTCCCTTGCTCCAGACAGGGCGGGAGCAGTAGAGTATCTCATACAGTTGGGCTGCTGATCTTGATTCTCCCTCCCCCTTGTGCAGTTAGAGGAGGTCAGGCACTGCCCCCACACCATTTTTACACACTTCTACTTGTGTGGATAAAATCCTATCATCTACATACCTTTCCTTTCTCACTACTTCAAAGGAATATGCCCGCAGCTCATCCAAAAGTAATATAGTGTCATAAAGGTACAAGCTAAATGAAAAGGGGGATAAATATGACAGATAATATCTTAACACATTGTTATTGTCAGTTGCTGTCCAGTCGATTCTGACTCATGGTGACCCCAGGTGTTACAAAGTAGAACTGCTCCATAGGGTTTGCTTGGCTGTAATCTTAACGGAAACAGATCGCCAGGGCTTTTCTTCTGCACTATGACCGGGTGGGTTCAAACCTCCAACTTTCAGGTAACCAATCAAGTGCAAATAATTTGCACCACCTAGGGACATTATATTAACGCAACAAAGACCCCGATGAATATATTGCCCATGACATTACTGTGGAAGTGAAAATTTTTAATAAATTTTTAAGTACCTCAAGTACCCTTTCCCACATACTATAAGAAATTCTGTGCCTTTCTGTAAGCAGCATTATGGTTTACAGGCTTATATCAGTTCAGAGTCCAGTAAGGAGAAAGAAACTGTGTCAGTCATTTGAAGAAAGAAAATTTTAATATAAAATTTATTGACTAACAGCAAAATATACATTCTGCTGCACTACATATAGACCATTCTCCAGGAGACACCATATCTTAGGGCACAAAGCAAGTCTCAATAAATTCAAAAAGATTGAAATCATACAAGCTATCTTTTCTGACCACAATGGAATGAAACTGGAACTTAATAAGAGAAAGAAAATTGGAATATATAAAATATGTGGAAGTTTGTCAACACACTACTAAGCAACAAATGAGTGAAAAAAATTATTAAATAGGAAAAGGTTCTTAACTACTAAAAGAGGTAAAAGAAAGCTCTAAAGAATACAGAAATAGCAGACATAGGAAACAGCCATTACCTCTAGGGCTGAGGCAGAGTACCTATAAAAGGAAGAAATTTGGGAGAGGGCCCCCTGATAAGGCAGACATTCAGAGCTCATTGGAAAAAGAGGAAGAGGGGCCAACTGGATGATGAAGTTTGCTAACATGCCACAGGCCAAGGCTGGTGACAGAAACCTCCCATTGGGGTACTGGCGAGACTCCCTGGGAAGCTATCTTCTGGGTGCTAGTAACACTCCCTGGTGAGCCTCATGAAGCAATGCCTGACAAATTCACCAAAAGGTGAACAAAACTGGGCCTCCATACTATAGGATAAAGAAGAAAAGCCCAGAACCAGGAAGAGAAGTTTCTCCTCTGCTGTGTTTTGCAGTGTATCTCCAGTGTCCTGATAAGTGTCTAATATTGTGCCCAGTGGCAAAGAAGAAATGTTTACCAGGTCCAGCTGCAGTTATCAGAAAGCAGGGCAGAGATAGGGTGAATCTGGAATGAGAGGCAATAAAACGATAATAGGCACTTTGGTTACTCAGCTTTCATATACATCCTTTTAGACACATTTGAACTTCCATGCAACAAAACTACTCTATTTTCTCACCTATCTTTATAAAAAAGGATACCAAAACAAAAAATCTCTTTTTTTCCGAAAAAAGTTCCAGTCATTATATCAATCACCGCTACTTTATTTACTCCTTAAAATCTGTCACAGTTCATTGGATATTCTGTTATCATATTCTGTACAATAAATGTAACCTCCAACAACTTGTACATAAAATAATAAAGAAGGGGAGAGAAGAAAAAATGGTTTATATATACAAATAAACACGTACACATGAGAACCCAAATTAAAATATGCAAAGCTCTTATATGCCTTGTTTCTCCAACTGGCCACAAAATTAGAGTTGATATCTATGACTTCTTCTACTTCTCATTCCTTGTTTCCCCCACCCTCATCCAGAACCTCAGCTGGTCAGAGTTCTTTACCTGGTGGAATGAATACACCTTCATTCTTAAAGGGTCTCAATACTCAATAGTCCTGTCCCTTTTTGGTTGCTGTGCTTTTCCATTTACCTCTAGCATTGGACTTGGAAGTACTAAGAGGCAATACACTGATAACTGAGACAATGCTCATGCTAAGGCTCTCTGCAATTGCCTGCTCCGGAGAATTCTCTTGTCCATTTACATCTTAATTTGGCTAGTATTTCTCTTCTTTCTACTTAGTGTTGACCAAAAGAGGAACCAGATCCTTCTTCTTAATTTCCTGAATTAACGCAACACAGTATTTTCATGGCTAACAGAAATGTACAGAAGATTTGAGAAAATAGGTGTGTTTCAGCCATCCAAGAGTAAGTATATGAAGTGAATATTAGACTTCTCCCATCTTAGAAGTCCATCAACCAATCATTTCCCTGGAAAATTTTGAATATGCACATTTTCTGATCAGATTGCCTAGATCCCCTCCAAAGTAGAGCTAGGGCCCTACACTCTGAACAAAATCAAGTTGGACAAAGCAAACTTTATACTGCAGAGGGATTCAGCCCCTGTCCTTTCATATACAAACAGTATAAAATGTTCGCAAACTATTTTTCATTACCAAAGTAAAATGACCTCCCATAGCCAAATTCTACCTACACTCAACAAGCTCAAACAAGTCATTGTTTTTTCCTTTAGCTATAGAAGCACAAAACATGAACTAGCAGTTCTCAGAGCCACATACTCCCCCAGCAGTCTGCATCCAAAAGCACACATGCATGACTCCCAGTGTCTTCCAGCCCTCACCTCAGAGTCTTTCACCTGGAGGAGTCTGTAGCTCCAAGAAAAGCATAGTGAGTGAACAGGGACAGAGATGCGTCCCTATGGAGGCATAGCCTTGGAGTTGTGGGGGAGTAATGGAGATTCAGGCCCTGGGAGAACACCATTCCCACCAGAGCCAGAGCTCAACCCCTCCCCTGAAGGGCTCAGCAGCTCATTCAAAGAAGAAGATTTGTTAAGGGGCACAGGGGGCCCCTTGGACCCACCTACCATTGAGCAGATGGTCAGGGACATGTATCTTGAATTTAACATGAAATATGGAAAGAGAGTCCCAGAGAAGACAGCCTCAGAGAAGGAGAAAATGTGGGACTTATCAGTCATGTTGTAGAAAGAGATATCTCCAGCATCGTAGTCCAGGAAAATCCCCACCCTCAAGGGAAACTTCCTAAGGATTAGCTGTGTCTGAGGAGTAGTACAGGCAAAACACCTACCAAAAAACCATTCCACAACCCAGAACCCATCTTCTGGGCACTGTCTAAACCAGTCATTCCTAACGACATCTTCCCTACAGACCCCCACAGCGCATTCCTTTATGTCTCCATCTCTGGCTTCCACCTCCCAGTAACATCGCCCTGAAGTGATGCCCTCAAGACCCAACACACTGCATCTTTCATCGTCCAGTTTCTTACAGGTGTCCTTCCAGGTCAGACACATGTTTTCCTGTGAGAGGGACAGTTTGGGATGGGCAGAACATGGATCCAGAGTGACAGACCCTGTAAAGAGAGTTACCGAATCAGGCAAGGCTCTCCCCTGCCCCATAACAAGGGCACAAAACCACTTTCCCTCAAAGCTACTTAGTGACATGAGGAGGGGGCTAAGCACCCAGAACTGAGACCTAGTGATTCAAGTCCCCAGCCTTCCAAGCAGGAGAAGGAACCAAAAGATTGATATGGGGGTAAGATCCACCACAGTGGCCTTGAGGAACAGCCTGGATTCCAGGGGCTTAGGGATATCTATTTCGCATCCAGGATCAGCTACACCCTTTAGCACCAGCTACACGACTGCCCCCTCCACCACCCACACCACCACCATCAATGGTGCCTGTATCTGTATCATCATAGAGAACTGAAAGAGAGGCTAGAAGCCATGGGGCAGGCAAAAGGAGCTCCCAGAAAGAACTCTTGAGTCACTCACAGCTCTGGAACTGCTCCTTCCGCCAATCTACAAGAGAACCACAGATTTCATATCAGGGAATTGTAGACTTTACACATCAGGATCAGCACCTTTTCTTACAAAACATAGTGATGCAGGAGTTATAGGGGGAAATGTTTTGGAAATATTGAACTGATGTATTTATTTCTGTTTTTCTCTCACACACCCATAATCTTCAACCTTCTCATGAAATTTTGCAGCCTTCCCATTAAGGCTAAACGATAAGGCTTAACACCCAAGGACTGAGAGGCTGGATACCTACCTGAACAAAAGGTCATTGCTCAGCTTTAACTATCTAATTATGCTTTCTCAATTCCTAGCCAGCAACTACATTTCAACCCATGCTCTGCTGAGAAAGAATTGAGGAGATCAAAATTGCCACGGCCTCCATTTACTTAGCAAGAGCTGATTGAGCTGAACTTGTAGGATGCCTCTAAACAATGGATACAGAGAATTATGACGGACTGAGCTGAACTTACAGAATGACTATAAGCCATGAGTGAAGAGAATTCAGGATATGGCAGAAGTTGACTCAAGTTAGGAGGCAATGGAGAGATTTCTAAGAAAGGGAGAAAGAGAAGCTCAAAGCAGGAAACATGTAAATACAGTAAGAGGTCAGACTTTAGTGGCTTTTTTTTTTTTTTTCATAGAGTGATGGGAGCAAAAATACACGCATAGCCATGGGAGAACCCAAAAATATTGGATCTAGTCATCTGCTTCCTCCAGTAGCCCAGATACTTCATAATCTTCCAGGAGAAACCCCATTGTGGCAGGCAGCATACTGGCCCCCAAAGATGTCTGTATCCTAACTCCCAGAACCTGTGAATATGGTACCATACCTGTTTCCCCTACCTATGTGCTCACTAATTCGATAGACATTGGCAGGATTAAATCTGCCAAGTCCAGTCAAATGCAATCCATCTGGATGGAGAACTGCCTAAAATTCCTCAATACCCCCTTAAACCCTGAGGCCATAAAAGGGTTACCACGCATCATCAAGGATTTCTTACAGAAGGGATTGATAATCCCCTACACCAGTCCATGTAACACTCCTCTGATCCCGGTGCAAAAACTTAATAATCAATATTGAAGATTTGGTCAATTTTAAGAGCAATAAATCAAGAATGATATCTAGATTTCCTGTAGTCCCTAACCCCCATTTATTATTAGCTAATATACCTGTTGAAGCCACTTACTTTACAGTAGTAAAAGAAACTTTACAGATGTGATAAAGATTAAGGACCTTGAGATGGGGAGACTATCCTGGATGATCCAGCTGGGCCAATCTAATCACATGCATGCTTAAAAGTAATGACTTTTCCCAGCTGTGGTCAAAAAAAGGGGGATAATGAAAGCAGGGACAGAAGGATGCTGTGTTACTGGCTTTGAAGATAAAGGAATGGGAACGCAAGCCAAGGAATGTGGGCAGCCTCTAGAAGCTGAAAAAACAAGAGCCTACAGAAAGAAAGGCAGGCTTTCCATTCTTTGATTTTAGCCCAGTAGATGCAGGTTGGACTTTTGACCTATAGAACTATAACATAATAACTTTGTATTGTTTTAAGCCCGTAAATTAGAGGTAATTTCTTATGGCAGAAAATAGAAAACTAATACACTCACATTAAACATGCAGCAGGGGCACTAGCAGAGGAAGTATCTTGAGAGTATCATGATCTGCATATGGAAAGCTGAAGACCCAGAAATTTTCACATGCTCTGATGGGAGGTGGGGGGACACAACAATGCCCAGAGAACCAGGAAGGACAAGGGTCAGGAGGTATGGAGTTAGGAGGAAGAAGCAGTATAGTACATCTATTTTCCAATCAGAGACAAGTGACTAAGACCACGGACTCCACTCCAGAGAAGAGGGACACCAACAATGTCCCCAAATGGCCAGATGAGACCTGCTCCTCCTCAACAGACACCAACACAAAGGTCTTAGGATCACATCAGACCAGCCAGCCCAGGACAAGTACTTAAAATGAAACGAACGGAGAGCACAGAGATTCCTCTCCGCCACTGCTCTAAAACCCTATAATCTTCAACTCACATAATCTATGGCAGAAGAAGAAAGGCAGATTGCGGACCAAAGCAAAGCCTATATACGTTGTAAGGCCCTGAGATGTCTTCAATGGCAGAGCTTTTGCCTCTGTGGAGGATAGAAATCTATGTGGAGACTAAAACAAAATGTGGAAACTGATGACATTTCTGCCAAGTCCAGAGAACATGGCCAATATCTGGTCTCACAGGGCAATTATTTAAGACATTAGGTAACCTAAACTTGAGAGATAAAAACTAGCTTGTTTATTTAACTTTATGTGTAACTAACACTCTTAGAATAGCCTACATTCCACACAAGCTGGCGTCTCCAGGCACTGACCCCTCAGACCTGCCTCGTTTGTCTTCTTAGCCGAACACAATCCTGAGGAAGAAAGGATTTCAAGAGACATTTTGATGAATATTGAAAGACTCATCGAAACCGCTTGGACTTCCCTGGCTTGCTTTGTTCCTTGGTGTCATGGATTGAGTTGTGTCCCCAAAAAATATCTGTCAGCTTGGCTGGGTCATGATTCCCAGTATTGTATGATTGTGTTATCTGATGTTATTTCCTTATATGTTGTAAACTTTACCACTATGATGTGATTATATGTGATCTCCTTATGTGTTGTAAATTCTTTCACTGTGATGAGATTATACTGATGAGGTTGACAAGATTAGTGTCTTAATGCAATCTCTTTTGCGATATAAAAGAGAGAAGTGAGCAGAGACACATGGGAACCTCATACCACCGGGAGCAGAGCACATCCTGAGGTTCCTGCACAGAGAAGCTCCCAGACCAAAGGAAGATGGATGACACTGACCTTCCTCCAGAGCCGATGGAGAAAGCATTCCCCTGGAGCGCCCTGAATTTGGACTCGTAGCCTACTGGACTGTGAGAGAATAAACTTCTCTTTCCTAAAGGCATCCACTTGTTGTATTTCTGGTAGACAAGCACTAGATGACTGAGACACTTGGACTCTAAAAACCTCAGACTGTCTCATCTCGGGAGGAACGCCCAGTCTCATACTGTGTGTTGTTCAATTTGCAAATTGTTTGATCAACAAATAAATCTCCAGCATTGTTTTAACTTTGTTTGGCTCTGAGAAATTATTCAACACCTCCAAAGGGTAGAGACTAAAGAACAAGATTTGATCATTTATAGAAATAAGTAAATGCCATATTTTTTGCATGTGTGATGTGTAAATATGTGATCACCATCCCCACTTTCCAGGCTCATTCAGCTATATTGGCATCTCTGTCTTTGTTGATTTGCTTGATGGAAATAACATCACATACAACGGTCAGGCTGATCCACTTGTCCCCTTAGAGAAAAGTGAGCTTTTGTTTTCCTTGTTTTTCACAAAGACATTAGTTGATACTCAACTATAATTTTCTATACCATAATTGCTAGAGATTATCAAAGAAGAAAGAGAAGAACAAGCAAGAGGAGGGGTAAAGAGAACTGATATTTACTTTTGAAACTCTAAATATATCAAGCACTTTGCTATGGACTTTAATACACTCATTACCTCATTTCACAGCAAATCTTTAAGTTACAAATTATTGTTCCAATTTTACAAGTAAGAAGATATCGGACATTTGTTCAGCTCACACTATGAACCTATTGATATGACAATGTTGATTCTAGTGTAATGGTGGTGTTTGTCCTTACGAAACAAAAGGATATACAAGATGTACATTAAAATACTGGATGAAGACATCAATTCAGCAAAGAAGGAGGAGATAGTAAAAGAAGATAATCTCCGCTATGTTCCACATTGTTTACAATGATCCTCATTGTTTACAAATAAATCTTTGGAAGAATCAGTAAGATTCATGAAGTGGACTCCTCACTCAACTGGTCCTCAGATCTCCTGGCTCCCGTGGCTCACACCTCTCTGACTCTCAGGACCCATATCCCTGACTCAGAACAGAAACATCTAGAGCAGGGAAAGGGAGTGTTACACAGGCCCAGAGGGCACACATCCTGAACTCGCCCCAGTGAAAACAGGGCCTCTGGATAACCCTTCATTGCATGAGGGCCCCCCTTCCACTGGAAGGTTGGCATGATCTTATGGCTAAAAATAAATGCAATCCTTACTGAAATCTCTCAAAGAGGTGTTAGGGAGTTGATTACATTTCATGCACCCAAATGACCTGCAAACCATCTGTGCAACTCCCCAATCCAACCACCATAAATACGACCTTTGGCCTCTCTTTGACCATTCTGGTCTGTCTAAAACCTCCACAAGCTGTCTCCCACACTCTCCTTTACTTTTCTTATCTCCTTCCCCCTTCCCCACCTATTCTTTTCTTCCCTGATTTGCTCCCCATTCTCTCTCTTGTAAATAATTTTAACTTCTCTAGGTTTCTCCTTTTGCAGGCTTCACTCATTACCCCTAAGTAGCTCAACCTAGGACTCAGCCCATTAGGCAAATAAAGAATTCTCCTAAAAGGGGAGATAATGGCTCTGAACAATTACACATTACATTTTTGTTCCTGTTACACATACACAGAATTTTTCATATATTTTCAGGTGGTTCACAGACCCCAATCCAGGGGCCCTTCCATAAATATCTTGAGGTACCTGAACCCCAGATTCAGAACATCTGCTCTAAAGCAACTATTTCTTCTGCAACCAAGAAGACTTACAGGAAGAAACTCAACAAGGGCATGGAGTCAGAGCATGAGGAAGCAAAGAGAAGACCTATAGCCACAGGACCAGAAAGAAATGGGAAAATCAGAACTGGATCCAAAAAGGATAGGATTCTCAGGGCCAGAGGCATCTAGAACCAAGGACTCCCTAAGGAACATCTGAAGCCTCAGCGGGCAAGTGTCATTTCTGAAACCTTCTGGAGACCAGCAATGCCTGACCTGCACAGTTATTACCCTGCTCCTGTCCCTCCTGACAACTGAACTCTCCATTGTCACTGATAGCACTAACTGGAAGTATGAAGTGAACAACTTGTTTTCAGAGGGTGTTGCTAACCTGAACAGTGGCCTGCGGTAGAGAAAGGACCCCAACAGGAGGCAGATCTGTGTACTCAAGGAGGAGTCCCTGCAGTCTCAGGAAAGAGGCTACGGAAGTGATAAGGAGAGCAGAGATTCCAGTCTTATCCTGCTGTGGGGTCCACTGATAGAGGAAGGGCCACGCTAAGGCAGAGCCCCTGGGGCTTAGGGAGGTAAGGCCACAGAAAAATGAGAGTCACTTACCTGCATACAACTGGGCCTTCCTCCAGGCTGAAAGAGAACACACCCTGGTGAGACTGCAGCCAGATTCAGTGTGAAATGACTGGCTACCATCCTCCCTTCTATCCTAAGGTGTGCCTATCCAGAGGGAGACAGATGCTGGAAAAGAGATGAACTCCTGCGGCATGCAAAGCTGGCCAGGGATGGTGGGAAAGTCCCGTGACCACAGGTCAGGAAGCCGAGATTACAGTCCAAGTTCCACACCATCCTGCTGCTACTGTGGGACTTTGGACAAGTCACTTAGCTGCTCTGTGCCTCAAGAACCTCAGAACCTCCTGTTCTACCTGCATTTCACTAAGAATTAAAAAAAAAAGTGATGATATTTTAAAGAATAAAATATAAATTATTCCATAATTGTAAGAAAGCATTGTTATAACTAGTCCTTTTCTGCAAATGTATTTCTGGAAAATATCTATTCCCTCCAAAGTGGGGAATGAAAAAGGACAAAGGTACATAGCCAGGACAAGGGTAAAAGTGGCCAACCATTTTGGAAAAAAATATTTCTAGAGATAATAACACCTGTATCCTGGGGAGGACTCAGCTCATACTATCACATTTCCCTGCTTCCTCATTCCGGTCCTCTCCCCATCACTTTTCCATCACCACCTGCAGGAGCCTGAGAGGACTGACACCCTCGGAGAGGAGGATTCTTGGGAAACCAGTAAGTCACACCCCTAAACTTAGTGACCCCATTTATTTATGTAGCTCCTTAAAGGAAATCCCTGAGCATCTGCCTTTTAGCTTCCAGGTGCAGAATGAGAGCTCTGTGTAGTGAAGGCTAGAAAACTAACAATACAGTGGACAGGCTGGGGCTGGAATGAGAAAACCCACTATGCATTACAGATTCCAGGGATCATCACCACAACAGAGCTGCAGCCATGTAACAAGTGCCCAGGGGCAATCTCTTAGTTGCCCCCACCCCATTCAAGCTCCCAGGGGCGGTCTCGAATTTGCACCCCACCCCACCTCCAATTTCAAGATGAATAGACATTGATAGCGGTGACACATCAGCAGAAACACCTTCCCCCTCTTGTCTGGGTGCCTCAGTCAGGCAGCTTTCATGTTTGTGGTGCCTGGGAATGTCATTCCACACCTCATCAATGCCACCTTGGACTTGCCCCCGGGCGGGGGGGGGGGGCAAGTGCTCCCCTCTGCCCTCCCTCCTCACTAAGTCTCTGCATCACCCTCAGGGTCCCAGCACTGGGAGGGAAGCAAAGGCCCAGATCATAGAGCCCCAGGAGCAGGATTCCTCCCCCACCACCTTCCACTTCTGCCCCCATGGAATGAGGTCCTCATGTCTATGCCAGAGAGACATGGGGAGACGGGACACCTGGGCACAGGTGGGACGGGATACCCGGGGACATCTGGAGAGTTACTCACCAGCCTGGTAAACAGCCTTCCTCCAGTCTGCAAGGCAACACACAGGAAATGAGGTGAGCTAAGAGCAATAATGTCTCCCAAATGGCACACAGAGAGTTCAGGAGGGAGAGAAGAACTTACCCAGCTCTGCAGTGAGTTCATCTGAAAGAGAGAAAATAAATAAATAAATAAGCATGAACTCCCATCCCTAAGAAAAGGAAAAGATGGTGTGCCTGGAAAAGCCACAAAAAGACCCTCTCCATATGGTGGAAAAAGTTCTCCCTCCAGACCCATCCAAGCCTCCACAGCCAAGCTGCCCTCTCTGGATCTCCTGACCCTTCTGCTCTGGGCAGGGGCCCTGGGTCTTCCTGGAGGCTGCAGCCAAGGGCTCTGCTCCTGCTGTCAGCTTT